GTCGCGTCGCGTAAAGAGTCACGGTGCGGTCTCGCTTCGTGTGTACTTGGCGCGAGACACTACCGTGTCTCTTGATAGGGAAAAAATAACAGCAAAATTAGTCTCACGTAGAGTAAGTGTGGATTTGACACTATATATGAGGTGTATTGTATATGTGCGTCAATTTTGATCGTAATACTAATTTAAAATATTTACAAAAATTGCAAAACAAAGGAATGAGAATAATACTGCGATGCAATAAAAGTGTGAGAATAAAAGATATGCTTGAAGAACTACAATTTATGATGATTAGAGAAAGAATTGAACATAATATATGTATGTATTCTAGTAATCTATTATATAAAATGGCAAATAAACAGTGCCTGAATTATTTAGTAAAATAAAATAGTGCTAAATGAAGAAGCAGTATAAACGAGACAGAGAGGCAATATTTATATAGACAAATGTAAAATTAGCGAGGAACAGAAAATTTAATTACATGACGGATTAAAATGTACAATAATCTACCGTACCAAATGAATTAAAAAGGGAACAAAGTCTATAAAGTTTTAAAAAAGCGTTAGTGCCTTATATAAAAAGTAAAGAGCGAGGAGAGGTGCAATAATAATTCGTATCAATTAATCAATAAAAAATGTAAATGTATGTGATAATATAGTCTTTGTAAGCATTGTCTAATTCCGTAGCACTGCCTTAAAATAAAGAAGAAAGTAAATAATAATATGTTTTATGAGCTGAGCGTTTTAGTAAACTATTCCTTAAGTTTAGTGATACTATTTAACTATCATACGTAATTGTGCAATATTTAGAATAATAGAACGCTCAGCACAGCATAGAAAGGGCATGCCAAGTATTTTTTGCGTGAATCCTAATAATTTTTTTTTCGAAAATCAGATGTTACTAAGTTATTATATTTATTTAGCTATTTACTTTAAATTTATTAGTCATTATTTTTGTAGTAGAAAATGGAATACAGTTAATACAGAGCGTGTACTTGGCGCTTATTTTTACTTCTTTGAAAAAAATAAGCTTTGTATAACGATTATAATTATATGATCATACATAAACTGAAAAAATGACAGAAAAGAAGACAGAAGTCATCATTCATGTTTCAAAGACTATCTGTTAATAGCCCATAATACCTTCATTTTGTGTGCGAGTCATTTATATAAGTACCGACAAGGATATGTTAAGAATAAGGAAATTATTTACCCGTGATATACCTATTAAGAATACAAAAATTTACTTGGATATATATAAAAAAGTCACCGGTTTTTTTTATTTCGATATTTCTCTAGTAAATACGGATCTGATATAAATGATGACTTAATTTTACAGTTGGCCCGCGATTGACTGGTTTGTGTTACTTCTTTTATAGGTCAGATACGTGATATATATTTTTATCGCACACTGTGCCGAAAGTTCGCTTAGGTCATTCTGAGGTCGCGCCTGCTATTTTATCATGAACTCATCCGTTTTTTCTCCCGACAGTACTCACACGCGGCTGATCGTATCTAATGTTTTTATTTATAAACCGCATCATTAGTTCCCAATAATTGTGTTGAATTTGCTTTTACGTGCGTACTTAGTGCATATATACCTGTTTTCGTTTTCAGTACTACTTTTGATCGGTTCAGAATCTTATGTCTGCCTAGCTAGTTCCCGCACTGGATAAAAATTTAACGAATAAATTATATAATAATGCGCTCTTCAAATTCACAAAAGAAAAATTTTGTGCTTGTATTGCTAAACAAATTTTTTTTAATTACGGGTTGAATAGACTGCTAGCAAGCCTTCTTGCACATGTTAATCACAAGCGATTCTGAAAAACAAATACACAGTAAAAAAACAGTGGCTGTGCTAGCTTAAATCTAAAGTTAATACACATCCACATATGGAGAACAGCCATATAAAAAAATTATAAAATAATAAAAAATAAGGATATATTTATTTAGTTGCTATTTTGTTGCTAATTTGTTGCTTATGTCTTTCGGCCGAAAGACAAAAAAAAATACTTAAACGCCAGACTTGCCTACTTTTTTTCGGGTATTGCTCTAAATGTAACGAGTTTCTTGGAAACTCTGGAGATTCTTAATTTGATTGTACTTTTTATAGTATTAAATACTTTATTTCATAAATATGAATGATAAAAGTTACAAGTAAATGTATGTAGAATAAATAAAATATGCGATTTCGTAAAAAATACTTTGAACTGATATAAATCTGTGTACATTATCTTTTAACGTTTTATTGTTAAAAAAATTTAAATTAAATAATTCAAATCTGGTATTTTTAATGCTATTTTAAGAAATTTATTTTTAAAATTTAAAACAAGAGAAAAAATTTAAGTTTGATTAGTGTTGGTTAATGGTGGTTAGTGTTGTATGATACTGTTTTATGCGACGTCGCGTATCATGAAAAGTGAAATCATAGAAAAAGATCAGCAAATACTAATACAGCAAATATTAAGATCGTCGCGCGCACGAACTTCTCAGGACATTCCAATCCCCTCTCTCTTAACCCATTTCTTGTTTAACGTATCGTCAGTGGCGCGACTTGTTTCTGCAGTTAGTATAATTTTATACATCGTGAGTTCAACTTTGTATCACGTGTCATATTACATACAATCTGTGGAAGAAATTTAGATTTTTAAACTTATTAGTGTTTCATAATGAGGAAAACTGATAGTTTTTTGTGATCTTGTGAAAAATCAGTGAATTATATATACGAAAAACATAAATTTTCATGATTTCCTTTTCTGTTAAAGAAAGTATTAGTGTAGATCAATATGTATACCTACATAATTATATATATACTAATAGAATGTGTGTAAAAAAATTTACGTTTGCTTTTGAAAACATTTTTTCTGTTAATATATATAATGCATAATTACACTACAAAATATAAAGATTTTTTTATTTATATAGATCGTGTTTTTTCTTATTAGGTGTAAGAGAGAAATATCAATAATAATGTTTATAATTGGACAAAAAATTTAAATTTACGTGATATTTGTCTCCGAGAGAAATACCTATCACAACGTGACTTTTTCTTATGACAAAAGATTAATAATTTATAATTATAGGACGAACTAGCTTAAATTTTGCTTGTTTTTCCGTTATAAGGAGAAACAATTATTTAAAAAATTATAAAGAAATAAAATAGTTGTTTTTAAAAGTTACTAATTGTAAGTTTCGAACGGACATTATTTCGACTCATTTTTTAATGATAGAAATCAAATATATTGTTTTTATTTTTACAGACAAATGGATGAAATATATTTATCCCTGACATTCAATATACGTCAGCTTTATTCTTGGTAATCTAATTGACTATTCGAGGTGCATCAGCATTTAATAAAATAAAACGCAATCTCGAAAAGTTGTAAGAATAACTTGTGAAATCAAGTCCTTTCGCGTCGATATTGATCCACCGGCGCAATTACTGATGTGTCGTCAAAACAATGTCGTCAAAACAATGTGCTGAAGATAATTTTCAATATTGATTTTACCGCTTGAAATGCGCGTACAATGGGATAATTCATGTGCAATTCTCGACGATGCGATGGCAGAATAGGATTTAGTTTTAGTTTCTGCGAAGCGTACAAGAGCACGGCTTTTTAATCGCCGATGCATATAATGAAATTGTTCGTGTACCACAGAAAATGTTCTAATTCTCTATTCATTCTTCTCTCTCTCTCTCTCTCTCTCTCTCTCTCTCTCTCTCTCTC